AGGAAGTGCAGCAGTCTGGGCATTTATTCTAGCCTCAATAATTGAGTCTGTCATTTTACTCTGGCCCAAAAAACCTCTTCACTCAAAACATACCTTGCTGCAAAGTTCTGCAACAGTACCTTATTTCTTCCCTTGCAAGAGTGGTGAAAGCATTTATTGCCCTTGTTCCATTAGATGCGGGGAGGTCTACTAAGGTCTACTAAATCTACTAAGAATTTATCTGTATTCTTTCAAGAAAGAAATTGCAAGGTGTTAATAAATAGATATGTTGTGTCTTACTCAACCCTAGGAAGTGAATGCAATTAATTGCAAAGGGACTGCTCCAAAAGTAATGCCTCCTATTTTATTATGTTTACTTATACCAGAAACAGGTGGTGGCAGTATTGAAGTAGAGGCAGAATTTCTTGGCCAACATTCAATTAAATTCTGTTGCCATGCAAAAGATAGCTGCAAAGGGGCAGTCTGAGAGGAAAAAGTCAGTCAAAATAGCAGCCCATGGGGTGGCAACACATGAATTCTCTACCAATTAAAAATTTCAGCACACAGTCCTCAGGAAGTAACAGGACATGCACTGTCTTTTAGGATAGGAAAGGGGTGATCCTCCTGGATTTCCCAGAACCCAGACAAGCCATCAACTCTGACTAATGCACTACAACACTGACTAAGAGACAGAACAGAGAAGATAACTTTTCCCTTGCAGCACGGCGATGTCAGGCTCTATACTATTTTGAAGATCATGGAGCACACTGCCACAGTCCTAAAAAAAATACCCACTATATAGTCCAGATATGGCACCTTGTGACTTCCATCTGTTTGGACTAATGAAAGACTGACTGCTTGAATGACATCTCCCTAGCAACAACACCATCATAGCGGTAGTTAAGCAGCTGTTGTAGTTTCCATGGAAATAAAGAGAGGGCATAACTTTCAGAGCAACCTACACAAACTAAGCCTATGCCAGATACCATGTATTTCTTCAGAAGAATAGAGAACTAAGGAAAAGCAGATCGTGGGGGGAAAAAAAAAAAAAAAGAAAAAAAAAATCAATCTTGGACATAGCTGCAAGCAGCTGACTTTGGTTCTTGAGGAGAAGCACAGTCCATGCCCCATTGTAGAACATAATTTATAGAAACAAAGTAGAAAAGGCTTCCTGCTACAATGCATTTAACAGCATTTGTCAGCAATCTCATCTCCTCCACCGGCTTCTTTCTGAAGAGAAATTCACCCTGTTGTAATTAATTCCTGTCTCACAGGAATAGGTGGACAGTACCTACCAGGTGCAATGTGACTTAAATCCTCGTCTGTATCTGTCTGTATTGTACAAAAGCAGCTGTATTGTTTTGATTACCACTTCACTAACTAGTGCCTGTTTTCTCCACTCCAACAGATTTAGACTTCTATCAATCTGCATTTCACAAAGGCAGCTCAAAGAGCCATTTTTAATTTTTCTTCTTTCCCCATAATTCACAAGTGAACAATTCCCAGTGCTTGTTTTTTTTTTTTTTGCCCTCAGTGTATATTACGCAATGAAAACTGAACTAATAATCTTCTTAGACTCTGAAGTTTAATAATAACATTCTGCTCATGAGTGATTCATGCTGAGAAAAAAGCTTAAACACAAAATTAATATAATTATAAAGATTGCCTGTGAGACTCCAGGAGGAAGAACCATTCAAGGCCAGAGAGTTTAACCTTATAAAAGATATAACAAAAGCACAGGAGAAAAAAAAATCAGGCAAAACCAAGGCAGACCAGCCACAGGAGAAACATCTTGATTGCAGTTGAACAGTTTCATTTTGCCAAAGGAAAAAGGATTTGTTTCATTGTTTTTTTAGAAATACTAACACAACAGTGACAGCAGCTATTATGAAGGGTTGAGCAAAGCACAATAGTACTCTTTTCCTCTGCTTCTGTATAGACTACTAAGTATAGTGTGTGTGGGGGGGAGAAGACTACTTAATAACTCAAGTGAAGTAATGATAATAGCAGTGTTTACTTTAAGGCCCAGAAGTGTAAATAAAGCTGCCTTATGTTCTATTTTACAGCTGTATCCTACGATTTGCTCTAGTTTATAATCTTCTTCATGGAAGAAACCAACTCCCAAAAGAAATCTCATACAAGCCTTGCATTTTCACTTCTATTGTGTGCAAAATAATGTTTTGTCTGCCAAGAAACTTGAAGAACAGAAGTAGAACAAGAGTAAAAAAAAAAAAAAAGAAGTTCCTATAAATCCTATAGAAAGAATTGGTTGCCAACTATAAGGTTTCATTGTACTTTTTTATTCCTCTCCCTAACCCCAGTCTGAGGATGCATTTCCAGAATTTTATTTTTTTCTAAAAAGCAAGTTTTTCCTTCTGCTCTCATTCCACCTTTTCACTTTCCCACATATAAAAGCTACTTCTAGGATATAAGTTGCCACCATAAGCTTCTAGTTGAAGGGCTGAGGCCACAAAGTAACTTGTTTACATCAATTTCTCAACACTATGTTTTTTTTTAGTTCACGTCTTATTTTCCTACAATTCTTTCACCATTGATACTAATTCCATATACCCCAGGTATTTATCAATTTATTGCTTTTATGCTTTCCCACACTTCCATTTTCCTGATTTATCTCCATAAACCTCTAGATTCATAGCTCACTTTAGCTAAGAGAGAAGGAATATTTCATACTTGCTTCTAATGAGAAAAACACAACTTGAATGGACTGAAAAAAACACCTTGAGGCAATCAAGCCACACATGGGGTAAGTAATAGTGAACTGGGGTGAATGACCACAGTAGCCTCTATTAGAACAAGAACCTGAAGCATGTTATGTGATAACACTGTACTAATGAGATCCCCCTCAGTTCTCTCCAGGCCAAACAGTTCCAAGTCTCTCAGTCTTTGCTCACAGAGAAGATGTTTCAGGTCTCCAACCATCCCTATGGTCCCAGTCTGCAGGAGATTACACCGATACCTCACTTCTTCCAGCTAGGGTGAACAACTGCACCAGGCCCCTACACTCCTCCCCAGCCTGTACCTGGGAGAGCAGCTGTCAGTTACCCCAGCATTACATCCTGCCTAGAGCTTCGTTATGTAATAACTGTACACAGTCCAGAGAAAACTCTCCAAACCAAAACAGCTATCATCTCCAAGGACCTCTAAAAAGGTTTAGCGCTTTTAGCACATCTGCTTAGAAATGAAAGCCTTCAGAAGGGAGAAACTAAATAGCAAAAAACACTGTCTTACTCATCTGCTGGTCCGATGAAGCAATATAACTGTTTCTGACAAGTGCTTTACAATACCAATAATCATGCATAAAAAAAAGTTGACTTACTCAGCAAGCGACGAAGCTCTCTAACTGTAAGACGCTCCTTCTCAGGGAATAGCCTTCATCCAGAAAGCATTCCCTTTCTGGAAGCTAGCTCTTAAATGGTCCTAGAGAAGGTTGGACCCAGGATCAGCTGGGAAGCACAGGTAAATTGTTTGCACATGTGCTTCCTGGGCCAGCGATCCCCTTCACCAGGTGCTCAATTATCAGTTCAGACTGTGATAACAGTTCCCCTACACCATCTATAACAGAACTGTGGCTTTGCAGGGGAGATTTACACTTAAAACTCTCTTTAGCTGGATAAAAGAAAGAAAATGCAGTACTTTAACATTGCACATGTTATATCTTCCCTCCTGCAATCCCAGACAGTGGAGAGGCTGAGTACAATTCTATTACTTCTTATGCTTCATTAACAAGGTAATTTGCTAAGCTATATCTCAGCGACCCTGATTGCAAGTCCTGTGTTTGCTAAGGTGCTGTTAATAAATTAATCAGAAGAGTGAAGTTTACACAGGAGTCACAGAGAAGTTAATTTGATTCCTCCTCATATTCAGTATTGATCATTTCTTAGAAAAGAAAAATAAAACCAGAAATTTGATGCTCCTTCTGGAGGCCTAGCTGTGTTTTTAGTATTACTGTCTCAGAAGAGCATTATTTAGTAGGTTGACCACTAACATTAGGGGATTATGCATAGGTAGCTCTCAGCTGTACGTTAGCATCCCTTTCAGAGCAGTATTTAGCAGGGCATACATTGCCTCTCCCTTAGGAGAGGAAACACTGCTTCTGACACTGCCTTTAATCACACTGGCATGCTCTCTCCTGGATGGTACTCATCCAGGAAGTAGCTGAAGGACAAATAGGAAATACAGCTTTTGTTGCTATCAAGCTAAAAATATATGCAAAAGAGTCAGTCCCACTTTAATGCTCTAGTAGCTGACAATTTTTTTTATGAATAAGTGCTGGCAAGACAGATCGAGTAGGGAACTCGACAGAAGACAGCTTCTTAATCTGCCGGAAAAAATGAATCTGGTTTAATCCATGTTGTGTGTTCTACAAGCAGCAGACAGCCATACAGCAGAACCTGAGGGGCTAAACTGATCTCTCAACAATTGCCTTCCATAGAAAATATTAATACGTTAAATAGAACCATAGAATTAAGGTTGGTAAAGATCTCTTAGATCACTGAGTCCAAACAATCCACCTACCACCAGTGATGCCAATTAAACCATGTCCCTCAGTGCCACATCTAAATGTTTCTTGAACACCTCCAGGGATGGTTACTCCCTGGGCAGCCAATTTCAGTGCCTGACCACTCTTCTAGGAAAGGAATTTTTTCTAATATCCACATTGAGCCTCCCCTGCTGCAACTTAAGCTGATTCCCTCTCATCCTAAATCTAGGTTGTATATCCACGTAGAAATGTTTCTGTTCTGAGCACTCTAATATTAAACTCCTTTGTTTCACTATGCATTTGGATCTGAGAGACAGAATGTCTCAGGAGCAGAAGCAAGCAACTACATGCTAGGGCAGCATGGATTTTATGGTTTATATACATTTTGTTTGACACAGGCAGACAGGCAGACACTTAGATAATCCTAGTAAGCAGCAAGCAGAAACTCCCTAAACAAGTGCAATATGAACCCTAGTAAGCTAAACCTGAAGCTCCCTTAAGCAAGCACAACATTACTTACCAACCCTTGAGAGATGGACAAAGCTCTGAGTAGAAGGAACACACCTTCGGATTCGGTAGGTAGTGTCAGCAGGGTGTCCCGTGCTTCGAAGTGCACTTTCCTCTCAAATCCACTACAGATTCCCTCCTATTTCTCTCCAGGATATGCACACTTGCACACTGTGTCCGCATGGCCAGTATGTGATGCAGAGCCCAAGTGGAACACCTGCCTGCAAGCAAGCTCAACTATCTGCAAAACAAGATAACTGCCAAGGTCAACTCCCCACCAAAACAAGACAAACAGCTCTAGCTGCAAATACTGCTTTCCTTAAAACAGTCATGTGGCCCATGGTTCTAGTCACAAAGCCATCCAATTATGTTCCCAGAATCCTTTGTTCCAATGCAAGATCATCCTTTGGTCAGAACTTTTAGGTCCCTGACATATCAGTTTAAAGTTTATTCTTTTTCCTTCTATAGTAAAAAACTTTTAAAACCATTACTGCATCTTATAATGTTGGTTTTTTTTCCTCACCCTTTGTGTGTGTGGGTTTTGTACTCGTGTTTAGAGTCAGCCTTTAGAAATGGAAGTTTTAAGTGAAGCTCATAGATGTATTTATAGAAATGTAATTAGCAACTTAAATGAAGGAAGTTACCTTGCCAAGTCTCATCCTTAGCTGTACAGCTGACCAATTGCATACCAGAGAGAATTTCTTCATGCGTTATACAGTCTGCAATAAAACCTCAGCTTCTGAAGCATAGGTCTTTGAGAAACAAAGGGCCTCCTCTCTTCTGCTTCCTTTCTGCTTCTCTGGTGACTCAGAACCAGACTCTAGCGTAATTACTAGAGACTCAGAGGGTCGCACTGCTGCTGAGGAAAGACGTGGCTCTGTGGGGAAGGCATTATCTCTCCCTGATGGCTGCAGTGTGCTCACACAGTCCCAGACCAAATATCAAGCTGTGATCCTATGGGGGAAGCCTGATTGCAGGACCACTGCCTGTCTGCCTGCCTTGCAGGGCTCAGAAAACAGAGATAATGATGGGCATTGGCAAGAATAATCTGACCTACTAATGGGAGTAGGTCTCCAAATTACCTGCCACCACAGAGGGAAAAAGGACCTGGATGCTTCACTGAAAAAAATCAATAACAGCCTCTGCTCAAGGCACAGCATTGATCAAAAGAGCAAACAGAATGTTAGAATGCAAACGGAACGATGTTGAAAATGATATTGAAAGTGAACTCCATCATATCAATCAGAAAGCTTCCTCTGAACCACTGTTCTGTGCTGATCACTTCATCAAAAAAGAATGTATCACAGGGTTTACAGGGAGAAAGCAAAAAGGAAGAAATGCTTGGGAAAACATCGATTATGTGAGGAATGGAATCACTGGGACAGGTCAGCTTCAAGAGGTACTATTTAGGGTGCCATGAATAATACATTCAGTAAATTGAATTTAGGGTAGCAGGGAATTTTATAACCACCTGGTTTAGTAGAAAAAGTAAATTTGTCAAAACAGAAATATTCTGCGGATATGTACTATTTCAGAAAATGACTTCAAAGAAGTCACAGCCAAAGGCTTCTGCCTGTCAAGGACTTTTCTCCCATAGGAAACATGAGTGACTTTCTCCAAGCACACTAGGATAAAGATTTTCAGATCTGTGTCATGGATCACTTCAGAACAGAAAGCAAAAATTTAGTTCAAAATCCCAGAGCAAAGCCATACTGGGGATGACCAAAAATTTGAAACCCAAGGCTCTGGGAGCTTTGGATCCAATAACACTGCGCTATAAAGCTGGAAAAGCATGAGCAGATCTGGAATTTACATTATACTGAATGACTGTCATGGGGACAATTATGTGTCCCCTATATGTGGGGCAGGTGAAAGGACACAAGTTCACACGGCCTACTGCCCTGATGCTAAAGGTCTGTGGGACAAATTTCCTTCTGGAATACTTGGGAATGTGTCTTCCCCAGAATGCTCCAATAAGTAGAATTGTGATAGTATGATTATAGCTTTCTACACCTTAATTTTAAGAACTCTCTATTTTAACCTTAAATCAAAGCAAATTTTCATTTCTTTGATAATAATCTGTGGAAAGTCGTAGAATTCAAGGAAATACAGGAAAAGTGGCATTACAAGATTCATAGGAACTGTGTTAGGAATTATAGTGTCACATGCATGACAAGGGGACAAGAGGGGATGATATTACACTTTTACAAAATGAAATATTGGAACATAACCTTTTTGAAATGTCATAATTTTTAAAGGAGTAAAAATACCAATTATCTGTTTTCAGTGTAGTTACTTTTTTATAGAACATGAAAGAACTTAAAACCTGATTTTGAATTCATTTAGTATACGAAATAAAATGAAAAAGAAAAAAAGCTATAGAGCTCATTGTTTCAATCATACTAGGTGAGAGGAAGATATATCTAGAAAGAACACAAAAATCAATCACTTCAAGCCATGAGATCACCACTAAATGAAGAAACTTTCCAATGCAATTACTCTTTATATCTTTACTTTGGAAATGCCTACAGTTCCTCCAAAGCTAGCTGTTCTTAACACTCGAGGAATCTGGTTATGGGGATATCTGGATTGTTAGATTCCCTGAAGAAGGAATGTCTTCAGCCATCTTACCCTATGCATGTAGTGACTGGGAAAAATTGCAAACATTGTCATTTCCATGGAAAGGGAAGTACAGGTCACAAATTTACAGTACAGACAGCTCAATTAATCCAGTCACGTGGCATGTGGAAAAACAGTTCCTTTAGCAACAGCTAAACAACTTACATTTAAATTATATATATATGTATATGTATGAACACAAATGTACATACAGGAGAATTTATTTTCAGGGCATGAACTCTTTGTGATTGTTTGCCTGATATTTACACTAGAATGAAGAGGTTGTTTTTTTCTACAACAGCTCTGATGAAAGTCATATATCATAGAATCGTAGAATCACCAAGTTTGGAAATCACCTTTAAGGCCATCTGGTCCATATTTACATACCACCAGTATTTCCCCACTTAACTATGTCCCTTAGTACCACGTCTAAACATTTCTTGAACATTTCCAGAGTTGGTGACTCCAACACCTCTTTTGGTACCTGTTCCACCACCTTGCCAGTCTTTCAGAGGTTTCTCATATTATTGAACCTGAACCTCTTCTAGCACAAGTTTCTTCATTTAGGCTATTCTCACTCATCCTATTGGTATTTATGCAGGAGAAGAGGCTAACTCTCACCTCAAGACAACCTCTTTTTGTGTAGTTGCAGAGAGTATACTCTCCTTGAGTTACTTGTCACTTCTTCCATTGGAGGTACACTTTCTTTTTCTCCTGGAGTATCAGCAAAAGTTGTCTGTTCATCCACATCAGTTTTCTTCCCCTTCTGCTCATCTTATAGCACAGGGGAACAACCCACTCCTGTGCCTTCAAGACTTCCTTCTTGAGGAATTACTAGCATTTCTGGATTATTTTATCCTTCAGGACTGAATCCCAAGGGACTCTCCTACCAGCATCCTGAACAGTTCAAAATGTGCTCTCTGGCAGTCCAAGGTAGCAGTCTTGCTGATCCCCCTCCTGACTTCACCAAACATAGAGAACTATTCATGGTTCTATTCATGAAATTTCATGGTCACTCTGTCTAAGATGTCTCCCAGCCTCTACATCTCCCACCAGTTCTTCTCTGTTTGTAAACAGAGGTCTAGCAGGACACCTCCTCTGGTAGGATCTCTTCCCAGCTACATCAGGAAGTTGTCTTCCATCATTCTAGAAACCTAAAATCTTCAAGAGGTGAATGATATAATTTGATTTGTTAAAAACTATTTCCATTTTGCCTCCAACAAAAAGTGTTGCCAGTCTGTTAGAGTGCACCTTATGCACTGCTGTTTCTTGGTTTTAAATAGTGCTAGTGTGTTCTGTCCTGGGGATTATAAAATAATGGCCTTTACACCAGCTTTTTCCAAAACACCAAATGTCGGATCAGTCATGCTTCAATCAGGGGATGAGAGTCTGCTGTGAGTCCCTGAAGTGTGTCTGTTCAAAGTAATGCAGTGCACTCAAGGGCAAATAAAACAATAGGAAATCAGAAGAGTTCAACTACTGTGGCTATTTATTCTGCAGCAACTTCAGTCCTAGCCATGGTGATAGTCTTCTAATGCTTTAAATCAAACAGCCGGTATCTGTGGCCTCGAGGTAAGAAATGTTCAACATCTGTCAGTTTCCAGACTTGAAACATTGCAGCAACCCTTCCTGTCAGTGCACCATGAATCTCAGTGCTACTGTCATGTGCTCTTTTCACTAAGGAACACGACTGTCACTTCACAAAACTCTGAACTAAGAGAAAATTTTAAGTAACTTGCAAAATAATGTGGTTATAGTATTTTAGAATTCCACAAAACAGCAGTTATAAACTTTCATTTTTTTAACAGTCTAAAACTACTCTTGGCATCTGGCCATGCCATGAGAAGTTGTATCACAGTTTACTTCAGTAGGCCGCCTGTCCAAGCTGTATCTGCCTTGTGTGCCATTTGGCCAGTGAGAAAGAAAGAACGATGCAAACATAAGTGGGAATAAACTGAATATCAAACCACCCAAAGCATTTAATTTCTAAATGTTCATAGGCTGGCACTTTGGAGCACAAGCCATTCAGTGCTCCTCTCTTGTATTGCTAACCAGGTGCTCCCTGTGCCAAGAGAACAAAGTTTTTGGTTGAAAGTAGCCAACTGAAATAGCTGGCACAAGGCACTTCTTATCTGTTTACCATTTTCATCTATTTACAAATGACTGTCACATCTCTATGATTGTTGTTGCTCCTTCAGTTTTGTATCTTATATGTCCAGTTGGCAAATTTGACTTCACAAAAGTCTTGCTGGATTTTACATCTTCATTCACTCCAGGAGGAATGACAGTTTGGAAGGCCACGGTGGATACTATAATGAAAACCTTGGAAACCACTGAGTTCTCTGCTGTGCTTAGTCAAAACACACTTGAATTTTAAAATATGAATAATTTTGATGAAGTCAATGGAATTGCAGTCGGTCATGTCAGAGTATGCTTTGCCTGATGCATGCTCCTCTACAACATTCTCATCTTCAAAATCTGTTCTTCAGGATTCCCCTGCAGTGCAGGAGGAGCTGTGAAGATGAAAGAAGCACATTCTTTCCTCACAGTGGAAATTCATTAATAAACCTTCACAA